CCATCTAAGATCGGGTTCAAACGAACTTTGCTGATTTTTTATGTCCATTTCAGGAATATAGGGTAGCTCAACATAAATCATGGGTTCAGATGTTGCTTGGACATTAAGGGTATTCTGTTGCATGCCATCACCTTCTTGAGCTAAAGTTTCGAGTTCAGATGGCTTCAACTGATATCTCGTGTAGGAGGATAGAATATCTTCATCGTCAGAAATTTATTCTTCATTTGGTTCTTGAGGGCTTTGATTCGGAGTGATAGTTGATTTAATTTCAATAGGATTTTTCTCAGATTTCTCGTCGAACTTGACATGTATAGATTCCTCAATAACCATTGTTCTTTTGTTCAGAATTCTGAAAGCCTTACTTACTGAGGAATAGCCCATGAACAATCCTTCGTCTGCTCTTTCATTGAAAGCTTTCAGATGATTCTTCCCATTGTTGTGAATGAAACACCTGCAACCAAAAACATGAAAATAACCAACACTAGGTGTCTTACCTTTCCATAGTTCGTATGGAGTTTTGTTGTGTGACTTGTTGATCAAGGATCGGTTCTGTGTGTAGCATGCTGTGTTTACAGCTTCGGCCCAAAACCGCTTTGGTAAGCCCGAATATGCAATCATTGTTCGTGCGGCTTCTTTCAAAGTTCTGTTCCTTCTTTCGGCTACTCCGTTTTGCTAAGGAGTTCGTGCTGCCGATAATTGATGAAAGATGTCGTTTTGTCCATAGAAATCTTTGATAACTTTGTTGACGAATTTAGTTCCTTGATCTGATCTTATTCGGATAATCTTGACTTCCTTTTCTGTTTGAAGCTGTCTCATGAGGTTTGGTAGAACAATTTCTGTTTCATTCTTTTTCTTCAAGAAGAGTACCCAGGTATATCTCGTGTGATCATCTACTACAACGAGAGTATACTTTCTTCCACTTAGACTAGCTGGATCAACTGGTCCGAAGAGATCCATATGTAGAAGATTCAATGGTCGAGAACCGTGTCTTTGGATTTGAAGGATGATTTGATTTGTTTTCCTCTTTGACATGCTTCACATATCTTGTCCTTCCCATAAGTTGCTTTCGGTAACCCTTTCACGAGATCTTTCTTGGCAAGCTTGTTGATTGCCTTTAGATTTAGATGACTCAACTTGTTGTGCCATTCTTGGCTTAGATCTGCATTATTCTTAAAGTTTTCTCCAGCTTCTTTGGATGGGCTTTTGGTAGTATTGCTATCTTGATGCTTACTACAATTGGGTGAGGACAGTTTGCCTTGAAATGCCCTGGCTTCCGACAGTTGTAGCATAGCAGTTGCGAGTCTGATGTCTCTTGCTTTGAGGTTTGAGGTGAACTCTCGTGTTGCCTTCGGTGTCCCGAGCGTTGAGAATCTTGGAAGTTGTTCTTCCTCATAAACCTCTTCATTTTCCTAACAAATAGGGCATATTGTTCATCAAATAAAAAATCACAAGAGTTAGATTTTGACCTGTTTGATGTTGATGCTTGCTGGTTGGCCACAAGAGCCACATTTCTTGTTTCGGGTTCATCAGCATCCTTTGGTTCATGCTCAAATTCGTAGGCCTTAAGATCACTGAAGATCTTGGTTGTGCTTGTGGTCTTCATGTCTCGGTGATCTCTCATTGCTGTGACCTTCATTTCCCAAGACTTTGGTAGGCCACGAAGGATCTTCAGATTCTTCTCTTTTACGGATGTCAGTTTGTTTCCCGATATCAGACAGATCACCCATGAGCCTAGCGAACCTTAGTTCCATATCTGTGACAGCTTCATTCGGCAACATCTTGAAGTCCTCGAACTTCTTCATGGCCACTGTCAGTTTGTTGTTCTTCTCCTGTTCATCTCCTTCACCCAGGTTCATCAGAACATTCCAAATCTCCATAGCATTTTTGCATATTCGGACTCTGGGGAACAAGGAGTCATCGAGAGAGTTGTAGAGAATGTTTCGTGCTACATTATCCAGGTTCGCTCTTGTTCTTTCCTCCGAGGTGAGTTGACACATCGGCTTTGGTATCATCTGATCAGCACCTGCTCCTTGTGCTGCAGCTTGTGTATTCGCCATCATGATGGTGATTGGTCCAGTGGTTATTACATCCCACATTTCGTCATGTATTGCTGAGAGAAGGGCCTGCATCCTCATTTTCCAGTCATCAAACTTGGAAAGGTTAAAAGCAAGCTTCTTTGTATGATTAGCATGATCCTTTTCCATTTTTACAAAAAACGTGCAAAGCTGAAAATATGCAACTTTTCAGAAAAACTTTTGATAAGGGATCTACCAGGTAGTAAATGCAAAGCCTTTACCGATCAAGGTATTGGCTCTGATAGCACTTGTTGGTCCCGGTAGGGTTAGAGCGAGAGTCTAGAGGGGGGGGGGTGAATAGACTCTCTTCAATTTTCGGCAAATATCAACCTCTCGGAGTTGTAAAGCAGCAGATAAATTAAATAGGTTTTAGTTGCTTTGCACAGTTTGAAGTTGTGAGGTTACTTTCGGTTTAGACGAATGATGATGCAATGCTTGAAAAGTAAAGCACGAAAGTACGAAGATAGAGAGACAAGAGTTTTTATAGTGGTTCGGCCAACTTTGCCTACTCCACTCTTCTTCCACAACTTATGGAAGGTTTGCACTATCACTCGTTAGTACAAAAACACACAGAAGCTTCCTTGATCACTAAGCCGGACAGCTTCCTGTAGGTTTTTCAACTCCGCGAGTTTACTCCGCCTCTATCAACGTCTTCTTCAGAGTTGAGGTTGGTAGAAAGTATTTTCCGATTTCTCCAACACGGTGAAGTCTTGACTGAGTATGGATGACTGCTTCGTACAAAAAGCAAGACTTCTTCAAGGTGGAAGATGAAGATTGATGAACTTCTTTAAAAGATCTTCACGCCTTGAAAACTGGTTCGCAAAAGCTTGGTAAGAGGATGAGCTTATACAAGAGCTTTTGCTTGAGAGTAATAATCGAGTGAAAAGAACTAGCACATTCTAAGTTGATGATGGTGGGTATTTATAGGTGTGGAAAATTTCATCCGTTGGAGGGAGATGAAATTTCAAACCTATTGTCCAGTGGGTAAGGACCGGGGAGCTTGGCGCAATAAATGCTCCATTAATGCGGTTTGTACCATGTAGTCGTTGTGGACATGAACAACCTTGGGGTTTTTTGTCCTTTAGCTTCTGAAATATAGTACAACTTCATTTAATGCTCCTAGGTATATGTGTCCCACACTTTAAGGTCCTTTGTCCTCATGAAGATTAATCAACTCAGACAGTAGAGACATTCTTATTGTTATAGAAGAGAATGAGTGTCTTGATGAACCGTCATAAAGATAACTGTCTTGTCGAGATGGTTGATAACCTGAGGGTGTCTTTCGTTGTCGAAGCCTCTGATCTCGTGCTCTTTGTCTCTTTTCGCTTTGGCAGACCTAACTAAAGAACATATCTCGTTTTTCGTGTGTTTGTCTAACTTAACACGAATTACAGGATGAGTTATGACATCTTTCGTCTAGAACGAAAGTAGCGATGGAAATAACAAAAGTTAGGGGTCTACATTCTAAGTTACATTGGTATCATCAAAATCCTAATACAAGTGTTCCTAACACCAGTTTCCAAAGAATTGACAATGTTGACATCCTACTGGCTCCAATTGAACAAGTTTACACATCATAATTTTATCAATGCCTGAAAACTTCAAAAGAAATTTTAACTTAATTTTTACTATATCATTATAACAATATCTATTGTAACTATATATTTTAAATTATTTATTATCATCCTCTATTGACAGTAATTGTAACAGTTGTCATTGACAAACTCTCAAAACAATTTGTCTCAACAACGAATGTAAATTTAAAAAAAAAAAACAATCAATGATTTCATTATTGTTGATGAAAAGTATGTATGCCAATTTATTACTCTTATTAAATTAAATAAATTAGTAGCTACAACAAAAAATAATACATATGCATTTAATTAATTTAGAATTAGATGTCTATAATGCCTTTATTTAAAAAATTATTCATTATAAAATATTTTAAAAGAGATATAATTTCATTATTTATATTATCTTTATTTTCTATAATTCAAAGATTCATTTCCTTCAAATGTATTAATTTATTATATTACTATATTATCCATTGTCTTCTTTTTACATTATCTTGTAATTAAATATCAAAGTTATAATACAAAATATGTTATATATATTTATTTACCAAGTATTTTATACAAATAAAATAAATATTAATATTTTGTTCAATACTTTCACATGATAACCTACGACAGACATCTCACAACGCATGAAATATGTATGAAAAAAACTATGTACAACTACCCAATATCAATAGGTGCTTGTAAGATAAAGAGTTAATAGTACAACTAAGATCCCATCATATACACAACAAGGCAAATCTAAAACTTCCTACACCATAATCTTATTGCACGACGAATCCATATATGATATACCACCAGTAATCTAATTGCATATGACACACTACCAATAAAAAAAAAAAGGACATGTACTGAAGATGAATACAATGACAATGCTAACCAAAAGAGAATTAAGAAAAATTAGAGAAATTTAAACCAAAAGTAGTATTTATTTAGACTATCGTTTTTAGACTAAGTATTTAGACTAGCATTATTAGTTATTACAAAGTTGCAAATATTCATTTTACTGACAATATAATCAATCTCTCATATATTATCTTGCATTTATATACTTTAAATTACCGATTTAAATAAATAAATTCAACATTTAATTTATTTACCTATACATGAACATCTCCGATATAATATTGCATTGATATACTTTAAAATACTTATTTAAAAATAATCATTGGGCATTATTCCATTCGCGCAAAGCGCTTAAAAAAAACTAGTATATATAATATAGGTGAATCAATATTCTAAATAGTTATACCATAGACCCGGGTTTACCAATATTCTAACTTAATTAATATTGTCCTTTAAACAACATTAAAATATAAATTCCAAATTATGTTTTTTTTTTTATAATTGGTCTTGGTGGGGCTTGAACCCATGACTTTCGGCTCATAAGACCAACACTCTAACCAACTGAGTTACAAAACCTATAAATTACATTTATTGATTAATATATTTATTTTATATAAGAAGGAAGGGGGAAACCCAAAAGAATCAAAAATTTACAGCAAACTATGCATGTTATGCCAGGAAGGGAGGCCAGCAATATCATCCTCAAGAAGAGACCAAATCTCATCCGGCGGATCCGTGAGAGACAGGAGACCATAGTCATGGTTGAAAGCCATCTTTGCTAACGTATCTACCACACGATTTTGCTCGCGATTAATAGCTGAAACCTGCCAGAAATCAAAAGCACGAAGCTCCCTCTTGCAAGCCTCAAGAATATTGTGGGCAGCTATACAGGAGGGTCTTGAACTATTCAAAAAATCCATAGCATCACTTGAGTCACTTTCAAAAAGCACACTTTTAAAACCATGGGCATGTGCTAGTTGTATACCTTTCAAAATAGCCCAAGCTTCTGCTTCAAGGAGGGGGGGGGGGGTGCAACAACCTAACTTGGCTATGAAGCCTTTCTTCCAATCCCTAGTTGTGTCCCTGATAACTCCACCACAGCCTGCCTCAATTGAATGGATTACTGCACCATCTAAGTTTATCTTGACGATGCCCGGTGGGGGCTTATTCCAAGAGACCAGCCTCCAAGCCAAAGAGTCCTCCAACTGTAACGGACCCTTCTGTAACACCCCCGATTTTCAAGACATTTTAAGCTTATATAATAAAGGTAATATCTCATTACATCCCAAAGTATATCATAAGTGTACGGGGTGCTATGCCACACCTAGGCTAGAGAACCCAGGTGCACAGGCTGTCTAACTAATATCCATTGAAACACAATGCATAATATGGCACGCAGGCCGAGAGGGAAACTACTCTACTTCTACGCTCCAGTTCTAGCGCGCTCCAGTGCTCTAGTCCTCTGTGCCTGAAAGCCAAATATATCTGTTCAGCGAGAGATGCTGGTAACCCACTCCAACGCGTTGAAATACAATACATATAGAGATATATATAGATATACGAAAACCATTTTGAGCATGAAGATATATCCTACGAACACTAGCTTTAAAACCGGGAATGACTCGACAGATAAGGCCAGACACAAGCACAGTTATAACGAGCATATGCAGTTCACAACAGATAAGGCAGATAAGGCAAAGCATAAACAATGATCATAACCCAACATGAACAATCCCCAATATAAATCCCATAGTCACATCCCCCAAGACACTCGTAATCACGACTCGTCCATGTCACAACACATAACACACTTTGTTGGCGCCACAGGACCAATCGCATGCCCATACATGAGGGTCAGCGCATATAGCTCTGACACGGCCCCGCAGCACCTTGCCCCGTATCGCAACACGGAGGGGTCGATCGCAACCGACCGATAAACCGTAGCTCATCATAGTGTTTGATCGCAACCAAACAGTGGACCGCAGCCCAAGGGAATGTCATCTGACGCAGCCAGGAAAAAGGACGAACCGCAGCTCGTATAGAAACGTTTGATCGCAACCAAACGGTGGACCGCAGCCCAAGAGTATCAATCTGACCGCAGCCAGCTTCTGAACCGCAGCTCAGGATAACCAATCCGATCGCAACCGAATTGGGGTAACACACACATAACACATAGCAAGCACATGCAACCCACATTACACATTAGGAAGGGGGAGAAAACGTATAACAAAACCTATGCGTGATCCATCACTTACTAAGAATAGTCCTAAGGGGTTCATTCTTCTTCCACCTAGGTCAACGGGATACCAATTCAACTAGCATGCAATATAATAGACTCATAAACCTACGAACGGTACCCAAAACATCAAACTAGACATAGGCACGATAAACGGAGTCCGTTGGGACACCGCGGGGAACGGGGAACATCAAACGGGGAAGCCGGGATCCCAAGGTGGGGGAATTTCCAGCGGGTAGCCGGTGGGTGGGGGCCACCCGCCGGCTGCCCGCCGGAGAATACTGTTCCGGGCAGCGGGTCGCCGGCGGGCAGCTGCCCGCCCGCCGGCCACCTGCTGCCGGGCGGTGTTTCACGGCCGTGGGTAGGTGGCGGGTCCCCTACCCCCCACTGACTCTTTTCACACGCTTTACGCCCCGGGAACCGTTGTGGAACCTGAAACCATGCTTAAGCACTTTACAACGCAATTAACGACAACACGTAGACAATTAACGAATCAAATACAAGAAACGAACGGCACATAACCTATCATGCTTTTCTAAATATAATCAACACCCAAACATGCGATTTCCCCACCCGATAATCCAAGAATAAGATCATACGATACAACCTAGGGTTCTAATCACTTTTATATCAACAAGAATACGGTTCGTCTTCTAATTGCAAGATTCGGTAAGAATAACACATAAACATCAAGAGCATCACACAATTATCAAGAACGACACATAATCATCAAGAACTCCATATAATTATCAAGAACACCATAGTTATCAAGAATCTCCCAATATCAAGATCATCAAGATCCCCCATGGGATCATCACATCAATTACCAATAATAATCATCATAACTCGCCAATATACAATAATATGGGGAAACCCTAAGGGGGAATTATAACTATGAAAATAGGTTTTGTTGAGACATGGGTTACCTCTTAGCCTTAATTAATTCCTTGGCTATGAAGGATCTTTCTTTAAGCTTCCTTGTTTTCTTGATTTCTCCTAAGGGGATTCTTGGAGCTCTTTTGGGGTGGTGGGGCGTTATTTTTGTGGGAAGTTCTAGGTGCCTCCTAAGTCCCCTATTTATATATTTAGGAGTCCTAATTAGGAAGTAATATTATAGGCTCGCTAATTCTATTCCTTTTGGAACTAAGGGTTGGGTTTAGGGGTTGGGTTTATATATGAGGGCCCAGGGACTATGGTGGTCCTTTTTCCCTAATTAATCATTATGATTTATTCTTTGTCTTGGGCTATTGATTAATTAATTAAATGGTTTTAGGGGCCGTAACACGGGGTGTTACACCTTCGATCTTGAAAAAAAACCTGTTAATCTAGTCGACCTGAGATACAATAAGGGAGCATTTCACCTTCAATGGCTTGGATGTACCTCTGAAATGGCCTCATTACGCCATTTCCAAAGCCACCATAAGGTCACAAAAAAGGTGATATTATTACTAGTTGGACTCCTTCCGCTACCTTTCGCAGCAAGCCCTTCGTCCAGCCAGCGCACAAGAGGTAGAAGTGAAGAGTTTGCATGCGATTGTGGCAAAACCGACCTCAAGACTTCTTCAGCTAATGGGCAGAAACGTAACACATGATTAGTATCCTTAGTAATGTTACCACAGAACAATCAACCCTCATTATCTGTAAGTCTGCGTTTCATTCGATTATGGTTGGTGAGGATTCTGTCATGCCTGACCAACCAAAGGAACATACAGATGCGACTTGGGAGTTTAAACTTCCAAATGGCAGTCCATTTCGCAGCTTCAACCTCCTCTGGGGTCTCTAGTGCTATCTCATAGGCTGAACTAACAGAGAAGTAGTGTAACACCACGTGTTACGGCCTTCAATCCCGGATTAATTATTTAACTAATCCCGTTAATAATAATTAAATATGATTTAATTATGTTAGGTTCACCTTTAATTAATTAGTAAGGTCCACCATGAACCGTGGACCCTTGCCCGAATAAGAGTCTTAAGCCTGTTAGGAATAATGGAAGTAGGGCTTTTACTATTCAGATTATGATTAGGATCCTCTTTAATTAATATGGTCCACTATGGACCGTGGACCATTATCCCTAAAACAAACCCTAGCCCTATAAGGAATAGAATTAGTAAACGCATACCATTCAGGCCCTAACTAGGAGTCTTAAATATATAAATAGGGAACTTAGGAGGCACCTAGAATCCCCACCACAATAATCTCTCACCACCCAAAGAGCTCCAAGAATTCCCCTAGGAGAAATCAAGAAATCAAGAAAGCTTAAAGAAAGATCCTTCATAGCCAAGGAATTAATTAAGGCTAAGAGGTAACCCATGTCTCAACAAAACCTATTTTCATAGCTATGATCCCCCTTAGGGTTTCCCCCATATTATTGTGTATTGGCGAGATATGATGATGATTATTGATGTTTGACGTGATGATCCCATGAGGGATCCTGATAATCTTGATATTGGGAGATTCTTGATGATTATATGGAGTTCTTGATGATTATGTGTTGTTCTTGATAATTGCGTGATGCTCTTGATGTTTATGTGTTATTCTTACCGAATCTTGCAATTAGAAGATGAACCGTATTCTTGTTGATATAAAAGTGATTAGAACCCTAGGTTGTATCGTATGATCTTATTCTTGGATTATCGGGTGGGGAAATCGCATGTTTGAGTGTAGATTATATTTAGAAAAGCATGATAGGTTATGTGCCGTTCGTTTCTTGTATTTGATTCGTTAATTGTCTACGTGTTGTCGTTAATTGCGTTGTAAAGTGTCTAAGCATGGTTTCGGGTTCCACAACGGTTCCCGGGGCGTAAAGTGTGTGAAAAGAGTCAGTGGGGGGTAGGGGACCCGCCACCTACCCACGGCCGTGAAACACCGCCCGGCAGCGGGTAGCCGCCGGGCGGGCAGCTGCCCGACGGCGACCCGCTGCCCGGAACAGTAATTCCGGCGGGCAGCCGGCGGGTGACCCCCCACCCACCGGCTACCCGCTGGAAATTTCCCCAATTCGGGATCCCGGCTCCCCCGTTTGATATTCCCCCCGATCCCCGTGGTGTCCCGACGGACTCCGTTCATCGTGCCTATGTCTAGTTTGATATTTCGGGTGCCGTTCGTAGGTTTACGAGTCTATTATGTTGCATGCTAGTTGAATTGGCATCCCGTTGACCTAGGTGGTAGAAGTATGAACCCCTTAGGACTATTCCTAGTATGTGATGGGTCATGCATAGGTTTTGTTATACGTTTTCTCCCCCTCCCCAATGTGTAATGTGGGTTGCATGTGCTTGCTATGTGTTATGTGTGTGTGTGTTACCCCAATTCGGTTGCGATCGGATTGGTTATCCTGAGCTGCGG